AAGGTTTTTCCTCTGTGAACCTACAGATTACACACTGACAAGAATCCATGGCCTGGCAAGCAAATACTATGTCAACCTGGTCCTAACAGCTCCATAACACTGAGCTCTTGGCATGGATTTGGTGACACCATGACACACCTGGGACTAAGCTTTTGGTTCAGGGCCTACCATGAAAGCTGCACAACTTGAATAACAAGAATACAGAGGTTCCTAGAGCCCAGGACTGGCGCTTTTGGCTAAACCTGTGAACCTGATTTCATAAAGATTCATATAGGCAAGAAAGACCACAAGCTGACTCAGTGCCTCAGAAGTTCCTACGTGCTGACCAGTTATGACCATGGCTGAAAAACAGTTCCAAAGACTAGTACTATAATTGCTGTGAGTATTCTCTCTTTATTTTGTTATGAATATGTTTTGTGTGGATGTGTTCATGTGCAAACAACATAGATTTATTTTAGTTATGCTTATCATTCTATCATGTGCATAACATGTATATTTTTTAATAAACTTTATTATAAAAGTTAACCAGACCCAAAGTCTTTACAATAGCAACTTTGTGGGTACAGCTTTCATGTCATGTCTAGAAGGAATTATTCTGCAGCTGGCATCCTGGTCCTCTGCCTCTTACAATCTTTCCACCCCTACTTCTGTGATGCCCCTTGAGTCTTGGGTATACAGGTTTCACTGTAGATGTATGTATTGAATCTAGGCACAGCATGGTCACTTTCTCTCTACATTTTGTTTAGCTGTGGACCTCTGTCATGAGTAGGCTCCATCTGTCACAAAAAGAAGTTCCTTTGATGAGGAGTGAGAGGTACATTTATCTGCCCCAGTATATAGTTAGTTAGAAGTTATATTGGTTGAAGAAAATGGCGGCAGTAGGCTCTCCTCTAGGGTCTATGACCTCTCCAGCTGTGAATGGTTGTCTAGATATCTACTGTTACAGCAGTAGATTTTCTCCTGTTGAGTGCCCTTAAGTGTAATTAGACATCTGTGGGTTACCCTCAAGATAAAAGTGCCACTATTGCACCACTGGGAATGTCTTACCAAACAGGTAGCTTTGGTAGCTCACAGGTTTTAATACTGGGTAGAGCTACTGATTGCTTTGCTTCCTTGGCAGTTCACACAGCACCTTCAGATACCAAGGAAACTAGCCCATGGGGAGAAGGCCTCAAGGTCAGTACCAGCTCTATTCCTCCAAGTTCTGTGTCTAAAGTGTAGTATCCTCAGCAATAGGGTCTTACCATTAAGTTCTGTGGTATCCTTACCAAGGGCAATGGCAACTGCCTATATTGATTGACCAGTCTCTTAGACTTCCTTGGCCAACAGTTCAAAAGAATATTTCCAATGTCTAGCATTGGGAGTTTTGCTAGTTTATGACTCTTGGGGAGAGTGTTATCACCCCATACAACTTAATTCCATTTCAAAATAAAAATTAAAAATTGTGTGTGTATCAAATATAATTAAAGACGATGAGCTTTGAATTTGATAGGGAATGGGGGGACACAGAAGGAGCTGAAGGGGAAGAAGGGGAGGTGTAAATAATTTAAAACAGTACTCACATGAAATTCTCAAAAACTTAATTAAAATATAAAAGAATAAAAAGACATGTAAGGAAGAAGATGATCAAATGACATTTCATATGTGTATGAAAATGTCTCATTGAAACCCTATGTTTTGTGCAACTAGTATAAACTAATAAAATAAATATTTTAAAGCAGTAATTCCCTGGATTTCAGAGAATCCAACTGTGGATGGAAAGCTGCACCATTGAATGCCAGCTTTGAGGACCCTGGCAGCATGGCATGGTCTCAGACTTGCTGTGGAATTCATCCGCTGGCATGGCCATGTGAGCAAATCCTACAATGAGTCCCTTCCCATGCCTCTGCCTCTGTGCCTGCCTCTGTATATCAGTGCCCTGTTAGGGCTAGAGACCCCAACCACACAAAACAAAGTGCATAGTCTGATGGAAATATCTCTGCAGTGCTTATGATAGGAGGATCCTGATGAGATTTGCAAAGGAGAATTCAATTGTGCTTGAAAGATCCAAAAGGAGAAGTTGGAGATAAATCTTTCTTGGAAATGATTTTTGGCAGTTGTGTGGAAACAATTTACCTCTATCTGCAGTGATCATAATTTTTTTCCTAAGAATCAAAAAGGGTGGTCCTTCTGGGAGCTTGTAGAAAGATCCTGCCCTCTCATGAAAAAAAGGGAGGAGATAAACATAAAAGAGGCTTGAGGATGGGAAGAAACTAGCAGCAGCCTAGCTCTTCTAGAGTGAGAAGCCACCTGAGAAGGAAACCACAAGGACTGGTCAAGGAGAGCAGACTGCAACCTTGCTAACTGTCCCTGGGTACATAAGCAACCCAACTTAGGGACTAAGGACAGAGAAATCAACACTGCTGAATCCATTAAAGGACAGCCTCACCCTTTAAAGACCGTAAGTTGGACAACCCTACATTGGGGACATTGGGAGACTGTGTTTGGCAAGCTACTTCTTCTTCTAACTCCTTTTCTCTAAATTCATATTGTATTGATTTCAACCACTCTTCCCCAGCTGCAAAATTATAGATAAGAATTGCCAGGATTTCTCGATTTAAAATAGTTTTTTCTAGATTGAAACACAAATTAGATAAGTGCCAGTTATATAGTCTGGTAATGTTGCAGTTCTCACCTTGGCACTTAGGTTTTACTATGCACCGTACCTACTGCTGCAGTAATGCACATGGATTTCCTTGATGCTCCAACCAAATGTTCCTCATAATATATAAACTTTCTGTTATGCTTATTTAATACAAATCTGTCTTATCAAAATTTCATATGGACATGAATTTAAGGAAAGAGGAAAAATCAGAAACTATAAGCAATGGAATGAAAAGAATATATAAATGCAGATAAGGAACCAGTAGTCTCATTTCCCAATATACAGATATGATGCCCCAGGCACAAAGAGAGATGTCTGTGTTCTTATAGCCTGGAGTAATAGACACACCAGATACAGACAGAAAGGAGATAAAGGAAAGATAACTTTATATTAAGAAAAAATGGAAAGCTCTTATTTACTTACAATAGTGGGAAAATCTAAATATGCTGCTGAAATTATATATGGAGAATTTTACAAAGATCAAGATTCAAAAATAATTAAACAGGTTATATATATATGCACATACATATGTATATATAGATATATACACACATATGTATATAATCACTTACTCATAAGAAAAAGAAATAGAAAGAAAGCTGGGCATTAAGACCAACAGTGGCTTTATTTCCCAAATTACACACCTCTATTCACTCTGAGCTACAGAATATGACTAACATTTCAACTGGAACAGAGTTATTGTTTCTTCTTCTACAGCACTTGGAAAGCCATATAGCTGGAAAAGTGAATTCTTCAGATAACTTATCATTTGTTTGGATAACCACTATAAGCTTCATTCCCTTTAAGGACAAAAGAAAAAGTCTCAGTGAGAGACAGGAGGGTCATGGGCTTGCTTCAGTTCCTAAAATAGACAACAGAGTCTTTTATTAGCCTTAATTGGGTACCATTACTCATCCCATAACAAAACAGAACCAGAATTATGGGGGCTTAAGAGACTGCTCACAGCTTAAGAGCACTGGCTGCTCTTGCGAAAGATCCCATTAAATTTCTAGCACCTGCATGGTGGCTCACAAACATCTGTAACTCCAGTTTCGGGGGACCCAACACCTTCTGATTCAGGCTGCTGGGGTTTTCATGGTGATTTGGCCATAAGAGGACAATAAGAGAATGTAATGGGAATGGAAAACAATTCCCCCAGGGAATGTGAGAGAAGATGAAACTAATGGGGAATACTATGGTAATAAATAGAAGTCCCTCTGCTTCTTTTCACTCTTACTCAGCATAAATCCATGACTGCCCAACTGCTGCGAAAGAAACCACCGTATCTGAACCCATTAGAGAATCTTTAATGTGTCCTGTTGATTGTATTTTGAGAAGCACTGGTCCCAGGAAATGTTTTACGGACAGATGAAGCTAGGAACTTACTAGTACATTGGCTACAGAAAACTTGAGAACATCTGATTGACCAGAGCAAGATTTAAAATCTACATTTGTGCCTAAAACAGCTAGCATAATATCAAAGGAACATGGGAAAGTTGTACCTATAATTAAACCTAGAAAATTATTTTCCATTTCTGTGCAGGTGTTAAAATATGGTACATCTGACCTAACTGGGAAGAAAACTCAAGTACAGAAAAGAACTAAAAAAGAGTAAAAGCAATCTAACACTAAGACTCGGGACAACATGCCTATAAAATTTTATGGCAACCTTGTACACCTTGTTAGCTATTAGTAAGCATTTGTTTCACAGCATGACTATTTTAAAGTCAAGCTTTAATAGTAGAGTAAACTCTTGGATGTCTCTACAATAAAGGGTTGTTAATCATCTTGACATTCACTGAAAATCTTGTTTTGACCAAATGTTCTATTTAAAATGATCACACAGTCATGCCTTGCACATGCAGGTGATTGGCTCTAGGATTCCCTTCAGACATCAGAATCTTCAGGGGCTCACTTCCAATGTGCATAGCATCACATGTGCTTACAGTCAATCCACAGACTCCCAAAAACTTTAAATTTTGTCTGCATTACTGCTAATACCCACCAACTTCTCTAAATGGATTTTAGACTATTGTGTTTAGGGAGTAATGACAAGAAAAAAATCTCTCTACGTTCAGTAGAAATGTATATTTTAAGAAGATTTTCTATCTTCTTAAAGTATTGTTTGACTATGTGGGTACATGGTGTTCTGAAATGGAGAAAATTAGTTACATAATATATAATTAAAATAGAATATATATGCTAAGATAACATAAGGTATAATGCAGGCAGTTAAAGTTATGGCCCAAAAATACATCAATGCTAAAATGAAGGGGGTGGGACACTGACATAACAGTGAGCCCTGGCTTTGTTGCTCAAAAGCACACTGAAATAATTCTTCTTAATTCAAGAGATCATGGCTGTAAAAAAAATTGCAGTGATTGGCGCTGGAGTCAGCGGACTAGGTGCCATTAAGTGCTGTTTGGAGGAGGGACTAGAACCTACATGTTTTGAAAAGAACAGTGACATTGGAGGACTGTGGAGATATGAGGTAATTTTATAAATATTTTCAGAGTATGGCATTGTCTATATGTATGAGAGTTGTTTTTGTTCAACTAAGAAATAAAACTGATAGCATACATTATTTCTTAAGTGTAGTTTCCAAATGAGTGATAAATATTTAAATAAATTTGAGATTCCTTGTGGAATAAGCATGATCCTATTCAGTTTCATAACACTTAGACTATTGATATGCAAATTTTGCGTAAGAGTGTTGAAACTCAAAGATCATGCAAAAACATTTTTCCTCTAGCAAACTTGCTACTAGTTGTGGCATTTTCTTCCATATCATCAATCACCCTGTATGAAGTTTTGTGTTGTTAATTGATTATGGGAAAAACATGTCTCTACCAAAAAAGGTATGCTTCCTTGCAGAGTTCTGTATAATAACTTAAAGGAGTCTATCTCATAGTGTCTCCAGAAGTTACAAGTGTGGAAGGGAAATCTCAACTTTAATGTGTCTTAGTGAAGCACAACACATGGCCACTAAAAGCTTTTCTTATGAATTCACCACATCTATCTAATTATTGCCATTATTATTTCTTTATATTTTAATATACCACATAGTTGCATAACTTATTTCATCCCAAATCATATAAGCATTTTATCTCTATTACATTCTCTTAAACAAAATCCCTTCCATTGTGAGACAGATTTTACCCATTGGGAGTCTCCCTTTCAAACCTACTTTGAGTTATTTTTCTAATCTTGTCTCGGTTTGTATGCATTCTTGGAGCCTGTCATCTATTTCCTGTTGTAAAATAATTATTGCTACCACAGAGTTAGTCACTATAAATAGAATTATAGCAAGAGAACACGCATCAGTAAATGAGCCTAACACCCTCATCCTGCTGAACTACTATCACAAAACCTGAAAACCAAATCATTACTTTTCAAAGAAAAGTATACCAAACACCACAGTTTTGGTCATCCCTAACACATTCTGGAAGCCAAGGGTTGTTTTATTTTTTTCCTTTAGGAGACACCAGAAATCGGAAGGGCTGGGATATACAAGTCTTTGACCTGCAATACATCCAAGGAGATGACAGCCTTCAGCGACTATCCCTTCCCTGACCATTTCCCCAACTACATGCACAACTTGAAAATGATGGAGTACCTCAGGATGTACGCCAAGCACTTCGGGCTCATGAAACACATCCAGCTCCAGGTAAGAAGTGAAACCCCACACACTGCCTGCTCATTGGTCAAGGTAAATCTGTACAGCCAGAGCCAGCTGGGATGGAGTTTCAGTCTGCATTTCCCATCCATGTCTCCACCATTTTCATGATTAGTGAAGATATATTTGTCTTAGCACTGTCCCAGCTGGAACCTGAATTCCAACTTTTAGCTAATTTTATAAAGTAAAAATATATGTCATAGGAAATAAAAAATCAATGCATCTGTGCTGTAAGAAGCCATAACATCTGGGAAATGGTCATTTTAGGAACTTTACATGCACAGAACTCCTAACCACCCAGGAACTGTGCACAGAGCTATTTTACCTACTTAAACATAAAATTCTACAGTAAAAATTCATAAGAATGTCTTAGAACTAGGCTTTGTTCCTTGTTTCCTAGACAAAGGTGTGCAGTATAAGGAAGCGCCCTGATTTCTCATCCTCTGGCCAGTGGGACGTTGTGGTGGAAGCTGATGAGGTGCAGAAAACTTACGTCTTTGATGGCATAATGGTCTGCAGTGGTCGCTACTCGGAGAAGCATTTTCCTTTACAAGATTTTGCAGGTATTTCTCTGGTGTGTGTGAGAGTAGACTCTTAGGATTCTATTGCTTTTTAATCAATTAATTAATTCGTTAATTACTCTTTACATCCTGACCACAGTTAACTTTATTCCTCTTCTCCCAGTCCCTTCCCCCACCTCTCCTCTACCACCCCCCCACACACACACACATACTATTCACTCCTCCATTTCTATTCAAAAAAGGGCAGGCCTCCCGTGGATATCAACAAAACATAGCATATCAAGTTGCAGTAAAACTAGGCACCTCCCCACATATTAAGGCTGGACAAGGCAACCCAGTATGAGGAATAGGGTTCCAAACTTGGGCAAGAGTCAGAGACAGCTCCTGCTCCCATTGCTAGGAGTCCCACAAGAAGACCAGGATACACAATTGTAACATATGCATAGGGCCTAGGTCAGTCCCATGCAGGCTCCCTGGTTGTCAGTTCAGTCTCTGTGAGCCCTATGACCCGGGTTAGTTGCTTCTGTGGGGTTTCTGGTGATGTCCTTCCTCCTTCTCTTGCATAGGATTCCCTGAGGTTCTCCTAATGTCTGTCTGTGGGTCTCTGCATCTGTTCCCATCAGTTGCTGGCCTTTCTGATGACACTTGGGTTAGGCACCAATCTATGAGTATAGCAGAATATTGTTAGGTATCATCACGTTGACATTTTCTTCCAGCCACATTTAGTTTTATCCTAGGTCTCTGGGTTATCCAGCCTCTATTCTGGCACTCCAGACACTGTCAGGGGTGGGTTCACTCTGGTGGCATAGGTGTCACTCTGGACCAGTCCTTGGTTGTTCATCCCCACAATCTCTGTGTCATCCTTACCCCTGCACATTCAGTAGGAAGGAGAGACTGTAGGTAGAAAGTTATGTGGTTGGACAGGGGATGTCCAGTTCAGGATATAGATAGATAGATAGATAGATAGATAGATAGATAGATAGATAGATATAGATATAGATATAGATATCCCTTATTGTTAGGAGTCTTATCTGGGGTCATACATGTATATCCTGGGAGTTTCCCTTGCATTAGGTTTCTACCTCACCCCCAAAATGTCCCCCTTTGCCAGTAGTCTCTTTCAGTATTCTTAATGCCTATCCTATCATAGGCATTGGATGAAGGTGTTTATGCAGAGGGGATACAACAGAGCATGTCATAAGTTCATAGAACAGTCAGGGAAGATCTAGCAATATAAATAAAGATTGAACTGAAAGTCAGAGTTCTTTGACAAACAAGATCTGAAAGAAACTTTCATGGAAGAGGAAGCAATGTGTAAAAAGCAGTAGATGTGGTATTATGGGGGACAGATCAGGAATTAGCACATACTTGCAGTGCATAGGTTAGGAGAAGCATGTAAGAGTCAATGGAAAAGCATTTCTCTCTCTCTTTCTGTGTGTGTGTGTGTGTGTGTGTGTGTGTGTGTGTGATTATGCATGTATGTATGCACATGCATATAGGAGAAACAAGTATGTATTCAAGTTTGCACTTTATAAAGGTCAGTCTTGCAGTTGTGTGGAACATTGATTGATAGAGGAAAATGGTTGAGTCAGGAACATCAATAAGAAAGACTTTACACAGTCCATTAAGAGATAATGATGGTAAAGACTTAATAAAACAATAGAAGTATGATTTAGGGGGGAGAATAAAAATTTGGATATATTTTACAAGTCTTTGGCATACTCAATGAATGGCAGATTATACATCATGAAACTTTGTAATTTATGGCAATTATATTTTTGAAATACAATTTTTCCAGAATGACTTAAAACTTCTAATATGCCAAGCTTATGCTGTTAAAAAGAGTGGCCACTAGCCAGATGTCACTGATGACCATTTGATAAGTGAAGGATATAAAATTAAGATGTTTCTTTTGTAAAATATTCACCACGCTTAGAAAACACAGTAGAAGCATACAAAGGATCTCATTAATAAACTTACATTAAATATATACTAGCATCTCAGAGTATCTTGGGTTAAATAACATATGGAACTAAAATTACTATCATTCTCAGCACTTCTGGGCTTCTGGGAAGTTTAAAACTGCATATGTGGTTGGCATACGGTTGCTTTTGAACAACATTGATGTACATTAATAAGCATCTTTACAAATTTTTGAATTTTCAAAGAGTTATTAAAAGTGAAGAAACAGTCTCATATCTCTGAACAGAAAATTAGAAAAACACAATAAAATTATAAAGTGACAAGGGGTTAACACATCGCGTAAATCTTAAATGACTATATTTTTACTGTTTCCTTTAAAAAAATACTCTCTGATTTTGGTTTTAGCCATATAACCACTGCTGTTAAATATTCTGTTCCTTGGATGAGAATATTCTATAATAGTGTCATAAAGTCCAAGTACAAGGAAGAGAATTAAGTAACATGAACTTCAAGTTTAGGAATGAAATTTACCAACCAGTGTTTTCCACTTCTGCTTGTGACTTGTGGGATTTGACTCTTCCTTCACAGGAATCACCAACTTCCAAGGCAGATATCTCCACAGCTGGGAGTACAAGCACCCAGGCAGCTTTGAGGGGAAGAGAGTGGTTGTGGTTGGCATTGGGAACTCTGGAGCAGATGTGGCAAGCGAGATCAGTCGTGTCGCTGAACAGGTTTGGTGCAATACCCTGATTCTGCTCCTGGGTGTAAACTTGATATCTGCAGATTTGGTTTCACACCCTGATTCTGCTCTTGGGTGTAATCTTGATATCTGCAGAGAACATGAGTCTAGACTTTCTCTGACTTTAGCAGTGATGTTCACATTTAGACTGCAAGGGCATGTTTTTCTTCTGATCAAATACGAATGAGAGAATAAAGAATTCCAAAGTGACAATACTCCAAGCACATAATGCACTGGAGTTGTGGATGCAACACTTTAAACCAGAATCCAGTAACTCAGAAATAGTTTCAGGTAGCTAAATGGGACATTTCAAAAAGAAGGCATTGTTTTCACTTGGAAATGAAGTTTAAAAAGCAACCAATATACACAAATCTGAGTATTTAAATTATATAGTTGATCTGTGTGTGAAGGTGTTAAAAAAAGGGAAAAATCCCATGGACCCCATTGACAAAAGCAAATAAAAAGTAGGGAAAGGAAGATGAGCAGTCCTTCCTCTGTGTGAGAGCTGCTGAGCATGGAGTATAATTCATGCAATTCAAAATTAACTTTTTATTTTGATTCATACTTTATAGAAAAGCACAAGATTTCCAATACTGAATACTTTTTTGCAAAATAAGTTAATCATGTCATGATTCTGAGATACAAGAGACACAGATCTGTGTGACAATGGCATTACTCAAGTGATTGCAACATCGATAAAAAACTTTCTTTGAAGGTCTTGTTAAATAACACAAAATAGAACAAAATATTTATCAAAATGTATGCTCCCTTCTTTTGCACAAGAAACATTTTGTTTGTAATTTTTCAGTTGTAAAAGTGAGAAAATCCCAGTGTGATTTTCTGTATCTGACTTGTTTTGATCCAAAGCATTTTAGTCACATGTTTCTCCATCACTTTGAAATATCATCTGAAAGAGCTTACATGGGATCTGAATATAAACTAACACTCGACATGAAAACCTATTGTGTTGTTGTTGAGTTTTCCCCATATTTTGGGATCTCAGATACTCCAGACATCAAACATAGCTGGAGCAAACATCACAAGGAGAGGAGGCCCATGACAAACATTAAATTAACTGAAATGACTTCCAGTAATTGGATCTCTTTATAAAGTAGGGACAGGAAAAAGAAGCTGCCTAAGTGGACAATACAATACAAGAAGTTAATTCCATTCCCTTGACAATTAAAAAAAAAAAAAAACAATACTCCAAAGATCTAAGGCCAGAGTGATTTGCAGCTAAATACTAACCAGGAAACCACTTCTCTCTTGAAGGTTTTCCTCAGCACAAGACGAGGGGCGTGGATATGGAACCGGGTTTGGGAACATGGGAACCCTATGGATGCCTCACTCTTCACTCGTTATAATAAAACTGTTCAAAAGTTCTACCCCGAGTGCCTGATCAACAGACGTATAGAGAAAAAGTTAAACTTGAGGTTTAACCATGCCAATTATGGACTGCTGCCTCAACACGGGTAAAGTTTGGAATTTTAAACAGACAATATCTTTAAGCTATTGGACTAGTCCACTAAATCTATAAGGACATGAATGGGATAAATGATTCTTTTAATTCGTCATGGCATTTCTTTTTATGGGGAATGCCGGGGTCCAGCTCCAGTGAGATTCTTCTGCCGCAGGACAGATGTGTGAAGACAGCAAAACAAAGAGTCTGACCACCGTCGTCTTTCAAACTGATGACCCCGAGTAGCTCAGGCCATCTTTATTTAGACAAGGTCTAATGCATTCAAGCGCGAGCAGTTTCAATCATTTCTCTTTAGTCATTTTCCAAGAATCACTAACTCTTTAGTTTCTCTTCTGCTTTCCCACTCCCTTGACGTCATTGACCTTTACCCCACATCATTATACAGCAAGCCAAATGCTTATATCTAGCTAGTTACATCTTATTCATACTTTGTCTTTCCCAGCAGTGAACACGCAGTTACAAAGTAAAAGATTTAAGCCCTGTGATTAATTCTTAGCAATATGAGATCAGCTAAGTATATTGTGATGCCTAGGATATCATTTTCAGGTGTATACCAGTTTCTGAGTAATCTGTATGTCACCTTTAATATATGGATTGCAGTTACAATCTTATTCTTTATAAGTTACAAAAATAGTAATGACTACTACCTAACTGTTTAATTATTGAGACTAAACTTCTATTCTTTTTGGGGGGAAGGGGAAAGTTCGAGGGTTTCTCTGTGGCTTTGAAAGCTGTCCTGGAACTAACTCTTGTAGACAAGGCTGGTCTCGAACTCACAGAGATCCTCTGTCTCTGCCTCCCAAGTGCTAGGATTAAAGACATGCACCACCACCATCCAGCTTGTACTGAATATTTTAAGAAGCTGTATATTCATCTCTTGATATACAGAATTTTTGGCCACCGAACAGTTTTAAGTGATGACCTGCCAAATCGTATCATTATTGGAAAAGTGCAGATAAAACCAAACGTGAAGGAGTTCACCTCGACATCAGTCATCTTTGAGGATGGAACTGAAGAGAGCACAGATGTTGTCATCTTTGCCACAGGCTACACATTGTCCTTCCCTTTCTTGAACGATGACTCCACAATTCTGGACAGCCAACACTCCATGTTTAAATATGTCTTCCCTCCTGCATTAGAGAAGCCAACTTTAGCTTTCATTGGCATCATACAGCCAGTTGGAGCCATCATCCCTACATCAGAGCTCCAAAGCCGATGGGTTGTGCGTGTGTTCGCCGGTATGTATTGATCTTCCCATGAGTGCAATATGTTCCAAATGCTCTTCGATTTAAGAGTCACTCAGAGGCCTTCTATTCTGCTGATCTCTCCCATTATCTGAAATTTCACCATTAAAAATAAACTGCTACAGTCAGGAGGTGGTGATACATGCCTTTAATCCCAGCACTCAGGAGGCAGAAGCTGGTGGTGGATCTCTGTGAATTTTAGACCAGCCTGATCTACAGATTGAGTTCCAGGACAGCCAGAGATACACAGAGAAACCCTGTCTTGAAAAACCAATAATAATAATAATAATAATAATAATAATAATAATGTAATGAAAGAAGGAAACTACTTTGGGTTCTTCTTAAGGGTGATGTCTCACTTTAAAAGAATTCTACTAAAAATTAAAACACCCAAATAATAAAAAACACAAAACCAAAAAATTGTAATGAGGTTATATTTTAATGCAACTGCCTATTCATTTGCTGCTTTTCAGCGGAAAATTAACTTAGGGTAAAGTTTTATGGAAACATAAATTGACTAAGGTTGGAAAACAAACAAGGGACAGACCACATAGGACACATATCAGAAATGCAGTGAAGTCATTTTATATTCTCCCTTTATACAAATGGAAATATAGCTTATGCGAATATTGGGGATGTAAAGTTCAAGCAGATAAAGCAGATAGTGGAGTGATATGGGGAAGGGAAAAAGTGGGAGGGGGAATGATTGACCAAAATGAAGAGTGCATGAATAAGCTAAATGGGAACCTATGATCTTGCAACACAAGTAAAAATACAGTAAGGGGGTAGTAGAACATAGCAATACGAAAGAACTGGAGGAGGAGTGCTGAGAGACTATGCACTATCTGGTGTCTGGCTTCTTTCTCTTACAATACTGTGAACTGAATCCTCATTACAGTCATTCTCTTCACTTAACATACAGCACCCCATATTCCTTCCCATTCGATATATGAATGTATGTACACATATATCTACAACTTTTTGTATTACTGTTCACTTAGAATTATTATAAACAGTAATGTCTAGATAAGCCTGCATGTGCACATTCCCATTTGGTATATGTGTAGAAGAATAATTGATGCTTCCCAAGGTGTACACGTGTGTACAATAGTAATTGAAAGCCCTACATGACCTTTCTCCAATTCTGCTCCTTTCCTACTTTGCACGCTCATGTTTGAAATGTATTTTGAAATAATGGAGGGTACTTGTGTGTAGGCCATATTTTTGCAGATACTAACAGATATGTGACAACAGGTGAAGCAGCCAGGCAGATGATTTACAAGCAGTGTGCCTATCACCCTTTGTCCTGCCACTCTAGTGTTAGTTAGCATTCTGCTTGTTGTGTCTTCCTTGTCCCTGACATATTTACACATACAGAATTTCCATTTGTAATAGCTTACTCTCCTTTCAAAATGCAGTTATTGCAGTTTGGGAGCATTTTCCATCAGTGTATACTTTCAGGATGCAGAATGAAAACTAAGAGATATTATTAACTCAAAAGACAGAAAAAAATGTGCTTGGGATGTAAGCTCAATGCTAAGCAAAGTTTGGATAAGAGAAACTTTGAGTTACATCCCAATATAGTTTGGGGATCTTTGGAAGACTACAAGACATGTTAAGGGTATTCACGGTATTCAGGGATGCTAAATGTACATTTAAACTAGAAGAAGTTTAAACATCTATTTATCTTAAAGGAAAAGCTGAATTCCCTGACTGGCACACTGGGCATGTTGATGGAAATTCTCTTCCTTTGGATTTCTTTAAACACAAGGCTTTGATTAGGAATTGTATGGAGACATGATGATTCTATTCTATTTCAAACCATCCTTTTGTTTTCTTATGTCCTCGGTCCTCATGTCAATCCTCCAATGTCTATGTCTTGTTTTCTCAGGACTGAAAGAGTTGCCCTCAAAGAGAGACATGATGGCTGACATCAACAGAAAGAAACAAAAAGTGCCCAAAGAGTAAGAAATTTAATTTTTGTTAAAATAAACAAAACCTGTTCACAGAGGGATATTTGATGTTTTTATAGTTTACACCTACATGAGCCCTAGTAAGATCATCTTAGTTCGGTAATATCATGTTAAGTTTTTCTTTAAACATGGGTCTGACTGTGGAGCATAAATCTGACATGACATATTAAAAAACCACAGAACACCAAGTCTACAAAAAGAATAGAATACAATTCTTATTTCCCACTATAGAAATAAGAATAGATGTTCAAAAACACCCTAACATAGACCTACCAGATATACTACTTCTCAGTATTTACCCAAAGTCTTCAGGCCAACATATAATTTCAGTATTTATTACATTCCCTATTCACAGTAACCAGGTTAGAGAAACAATGCAGGTGTCCAGAGGGATAGGAAAAAAATGTGCATTATACCCACAATGAAGATTTTAGCCATAAACAAGAATAAGTTATATCATTTGCAGGAATATGAAGATAAATGAAAAAGTCATTGTATTGCACTTGTCTGTCATTTATGAGTCCTAGACATTACAGATACACAAACTCACCCGTGCTGATAATGTGAAAACAGTGACAAAACAATCTGGGTGGCTAAGGAGACTAACACTGCTATGAGGAAATAAAGTAAAGGGTAGTGAGGCCAGAAGGCCAAAGAGCATTATATACTTGCATGAAAAGGCACTTACGTAACCTGTATAATTTTAAAGAAATTAAAATGACAGAACATAGAAGGATTTGTGATATCCAGAAGACAGCATTTTGTAGCCCTTTTCTTCATCTTCTGGTTTTACATTCTTTCCATCCCCTCTTCCTTAATATTCTCCTAACCTTAGAGGAGATGATACAAATGCCCTGTTTGGGGCTGAGCACTCGGCCATCATTCATTCTCAACATCACGAGTCCCTGAATTCATCACCACCTGTTACAAAGAGAAACTATCCAATTAAAGCTGAGGGTAGCAGTATTTGTTTATGAATGCAAACATAAATATTTAGAAGGCAGTATGGAGTCACACAAATCTAACTATAGAATAGTACATTCTATCCTAATGCCTCAAAACTCTTCGGTCATGGAGTTTTTGCTGGGATTATAGTATGATGCATGAATTTCTTCCTGTGGAGCAGAACTAATCAGAGGGTGATTGGGTAACCCCACAACAGTCTTGCTGCTATTGCACCAGTGGACATATCTTTCTAACTTATTTGGCCACTTTAAATTCACTTTGTTAGTATAATTATCCTAAATGATGAAAAATTACCTCCTCCTGATATTTTGAAAAGTTTTGATACTTTTCAAATTGTGACACTTTCTTTTTTGTGTCTCTTTTACCCAAGAATGATTCAACAAAGTGGTTTCTTATTTAGTTTGGATATAGAAACTCATTTTATAGCCTAATATAGCCTTGAACTTACTATGTAGCCCAGGCTGACCTTGAACTCATAGTGATTCTCCTTCCTCAGCCTCCCTAGTCCTGGAACTACAAGTATGTGCCGCTGTGCCTGCTTTCAGAGAAGCTTTTAATTTTCAAGTACTTGGTCCTCTAAAAATGGTAACTTGTGATTATCTAGGAATATTCAAAGGAAGAATTTGTGCACAGAATTAGTATATGGAAAAGATAGCTTTTGTAGCTTGGGCACTTTAAGTGAGCAAAAGAGATTCATACATTGTGACTTATATATTCCTTGCTAATTTAATTCATATCATGGAACTGGATTCTGTATCTAGAAGAGGAATACAGATAAAAGACTTCATCCAGTCTTTCAACGTTTTCTTTGTATACATGTCAGTCACTTTACTGAGCACTCAGGACCTTTAAAGCCCTCAAGGATTTACATCATGTATTAAGAGACTATAGCATGCTAAGGGAGTTGAGGCAAATATATGAAATTAAGATTTAATGAGTGTAAAACAGTGGAACCAACAAGCCAATAGAAGCCAGCTCTACTGGAAACTTGGGGAACAACAGAGACTGAAATCTGATTCTTACGTTTCCATTCTCCCCCAGATATATGAAAAGCCTCAGAGACGCTGGTCGAGTACAGTTCATCGACTACATGGATGAAATTGCTTCAGAGTTGGGTGTCAAACCCAACCTGCTCTCTCTCTTCCTCTGGGATGCAAAGCTAGCCAAAGAAATTTTCTGGGGACCTTGCACCCCATACCAGTACCGTCTCCAGGGGCCAGGGAAATGGGCTGGGGCTCGAGCAGCCATCCTCACTCAGAGAGAAAGAATGCTCAAACCCCTGCGAACCCGTGTGCTCAAGCCCTCCCAGACCTCCCTCTCTTTTCTTCTCTGGGTCAAAAGTACCTGCGTTGTTACTTTTTTCTTCATTTCCATGTTAGCTATCATGCATATCACAAGTCATTAACCTCATATTGACATAGATATTTATGAAGCTAGAGAGTAAACTATTATTTAAATTGTATATCTTAGAATCTATTAAATATATGGGGAAACATGCTTATTAGAATAGTTCACAAACAGATTTTCAAAATTAGAACGAATAATTTCAATAATGACTTTATGAGGAGAGGTTTGAAAAAGAACAGTTTGTTTCCATTTTATTCCAAAAGTAATTTGAGAAGTTTATATATAACATGACCTTGAATAATAATTAAAAGTGGGATGAATTTGACTTAATAAAAAACAAGAGAGACTATTTAACCAAGAATAAGCCTTATTTAACAAAAAGGTAATAAACCTTATTTAATTAAGGGACAGAGAGACTATGTAATCAGGAATAAACATTAAAAGTAGCATCTATGGCCTCAAATCATCTTCCCCATTCTGATCCCCCAGAAAATTAAAGCTGTTTCCATCTGTTGGTTGGTTAATTGGTTGATTGTTAGTTTTAAGACCGGATCACAATGTGTATTGTAGTCTGAAACAGCATCATGTTCATTCTTTTTACTATCACACTCTGGGCTTGTAAGCCAGTGCTAGACACTGGGCCCTTTTGAGAAAGATTCTTCAATAGAAAAATATGGAATTCATCAGCTTATCACATAATCAAACAGCTCTATTTGTAAGAATGCTACAGGTCAACATGATATGTTGCAGCTCCTGATTCAATGCCCTATAATTGTTGATATCACTGTCGAGTATTGTTGCCAGAATGTTCAGCTTGAATGAAATTGAAGAACAACCTGAGGAGATGAAGAAAGGTCAACATTCCCAATAAGTCTTGGCTCCATTCCAAACGATCAAATGAAAGTATGTGAACACTGAATGAGAATTCTAATACAAATGAGGGAATTTTAAGATATACTAATATTGAATTAGTGATAACATTGTTTGGTATAATAATGTTATGTTTACACAGTAGAATATGCTTATGATGCATATATTTTATTTGCAATAGATATGTAAGTTTATCTGCACATGAGAGACTGACAATGGCTGGTTGAAAGTTGTGCGGCTATACATAGCACTAATCTTTTCAGTTCTTTTGTAAACCTGAGAGTTTCAAAATAAAATAATAACTTTAAAAACTCAGTTTCTGCAATGATTTATGTACTAAAATGAGGGAGAAGTTTCTATGGGAGATTCTTCTAATCAATGACCGCATGCTGTAATGAAAACATCTTCTGTGACAGCCTTGGTCTTGATGCTCTGGAACATTGAGATTGCAGGAGACCATTCACTATGAAACAGGTCCCCATCATTCATTAGCCCTTCCTAAAACATTCCTTCCTGGAGGGAGCGGAGGGGCTGCTGCGAGAAGCTCCTAACACTGAAGATATTGAAACTTGTAAGGCTTAGGAAGCTCCTGAAAAGAATGGCACTCACTAGGCCCCACCCCGTGGCTAGCTATAAAGACCATAAACAATATTTGGAGAAAAGAGACTCTAGTGGAATTACTTGCAAGCTGGGAAGAAAGCTCCAGGGATACAGGTTGTGTGAGTCACCAGCAGCACTAGGATAGACTTTTGTCTGGTGAAGCCTCAGTCACATCATAAATTCAGGGCTGGTAGAAGTTCCAGGCACCTGGCTTATGGCAGTAGGAGAAAGGACTGCATACCGGATTGTCAAATTCTGTTTACATACACGTCTGTCATTGAATTCACACTGGGAATCAGAGAAGTGTGAGCTCAGACTTTCTTCTTGCCTGTGTTGCATTATGAATGTCTGTAGTTAAGGATTTCAAGGCAATAATCTTGAAGCCACATATACCTTTTGTGACGAATCATTTTACTGAGCTACAGTAATCTAATCTACTAATCTACCCAGCCTAGGCAAACTGCCACAGTCTACAATGTACTGAGGGGGAAAAATGAACTGAGAGTTCTCTGTCCAAACTCTTATCATTCCTTAGAGTCACAATAAACAGCTTCTGCATTGGACCTCTGACATAGGGCCTGTATCAACATCAACCCTTGTATTAAGTATAGTGAAGCATAAGGTGTTACTCTTAGATTTAGAACAAAATTTTAATGCAAGTCAAAACTTTCTTCTTCCCCTCCATGAATGGTCTTACTCATTAGCCCCTCTTTGAAAATCAGAAGCCAAGCCACACCCAATATCAAATCACAGATAATCTTCTATTTTAAGCTGTACTAATTAGAACTTTACAAAAAGCTCTTTCTTTTTTAAATAAATTTTTATTTAAATTAAAAACTATCTTATTTTACATATCAATCCCAGTTCCCTCTCCCTCCCATCTTCCCATGTCCCCCACCGGCCCCCCATCCACCCTCTATCTATTCCCCAGGGAGAGTGAAGCCTCCCATGAGGCATCATCAAGGTCTGACACATCATTTGGAGCGGGACCTAGGCCCTTCCTTATGTATCTAGGCCTGCAGAGTATCCTTCCATAGGGAATGGGCTCCCAAAGCCCATTCATGCACTAGGGATAAATACAAGAGGTTCCATAGACTTCCCAGGCCTCCCAACTGACACCCACCTTCAGAAAGAAAGAATACTCAAACCCCTGATAACCCATGTGCTCAAACCCTCCCAGTATAATCTGTCACTTACACTGTTCTGGAGTGGAAAGGAATCAGAACAGTCAGTTGACTACGAGTGTCATAAGATCCATGACAGTAGTCAGTTGTTCTTAAGATTGGACCGCACGTTAAGTGCATATACTGTGGATGTCACTGCGGCAAGCAAAATGTGATCTACTGATCTCATCAGTCCTATCAAGAAATCCATTGAAATCACCACTGTCAAAAGTCTTGAGGTAAGTGTGATGCAGGTGTATCTATCCATGACATATTGACGGTGACAAGGACCCACCACCCAGGAATGAGTCTAAACACTTGATAAACCATGGCAGAATCATGTGGCTGACACAATCATCACATATGAGTGGCTGAGCACACTTGTCACTGATACCATGCACATCCAAACTGTGGATAGTCCAGACCCTGTATAGCCACAGTTAGAGCAAGGACAGTGCTGGCGTTTTTCCCTTTGTAAGCAGTCAAAAGATGAGACAGTTAGATCGGTACACAAGTGGTATGCCTACCCCAGATTGTTCTGTGAGTTCTCGTCCCAGTGTGAGGAGTCTGTGACCCTTCTCACTTAGTTTCCATCTGTCCTCTTGGAGTCTAGCTGTGTAGCCATAGTTTATGTCCTGAGTAGGGTGAAGAAAATATCTGGTAGGTCCACAGTTGATCTAAATATTATTTTAATGATCACTTGGGGGGAGTCACCCAGGGACCCTACCTTGTTGGCAGATGGTTGGTTGCTCCATCTGATGGCTATGGCTGTATTTTTAATCACAGACCATGAATTCACATCTCAGTACATGCACAGCCAAAAGAGGTACATCCAAGAAATAAAAGAATGGAAAGGGATCTATCCACTGCAGCAGGGAAGGAGAGCCAAGCGATCTCTCTGGGGTAACAACCTCCTCAGACAAAAGAAGTGTTGGAGTTTATTTGGAGGACTAATATGTATTCTTACAGGAAAGCCTGTTAGGAATGAGCACATTTGTGGGCGTGCTCAGTTTCAGGTCATAGTTCAAGAAGGAAGATGGTAGGCACCTTTTGGGATGCTCAGAATGATGGAGTTCAAGAGGTTAAAATGATAGGAACACCTTAGAAAATATTCATCTTGTTTTATAGAGAAGATGCGCAGAAATACCTCTGAGTGAACTCAGTCCCCCCCAAAAAAAACAAGAGGAAAGGACATTTGGAGGTGCAGTAAAATAGAGATTTTCCTCTCAATGAACTAGCTTCACTTAATGCAAGCATATTGACAATGCTGCCAATAGCATCTTGTGGGATGGTGTAGATCTACCTTTACAAATCCCTACTAAACATCTAGTTTCACATACATATATAGATTCTCATACTGCTTTCTCTAGAACCTATTAAACTCAAATTAATTCCTTGTCTGATCTTGTTACTTCTAAGGGAAAAATATTGACCATTGATTTGGTTACCATACTCGTGAGAAAATAAAGTTCAATATTTTCCCTTGCATTAGTGTCGTTTGTCTGTTTTGGTGTATGAGCCTCTACTGTTGATGTGGACTCTGCTGACAAATGGTCTCACAGAACACTGCTACACAAAGGTAAAACCCCTTCCAAGTCCAGGGTGGATTGTGTTGACACTGTAAGATTTTAGGAATTAGTTACAAGCATCGACTCAGCTTAGCAGCCATCTTGACTATAACCACTGTGATCGTCCCATCACCCTTGAGTAACCTAGTCAGTTGTCCCTACATGGTTACCCAGCAGACAGACTGTAAGCTGTGGTATGCAGAGTTTTATTAATTGATTGTGGTGCTGGGAATGTACCTGACACTTTGACATTGGCATGATATAAAATGGATACATTCAAGCTTGTTTGCTTTTGTTCTGAACACCTTATAAATGCCATCCTCTAGCCAAAATCATAGGGACATTCTTGGATTTACTCATGCCAGAGACCATGCTTCTGTCAGTATCTCTAACAACTGAACTCTGTCAGTCTGCCACTTCTCTTTGAATTAACAGTTCTTCCAAAGCAGGAACAGTTTATTCAATAAAACAATCAAGTCTTTGTTTTTTTTGAATGATGGACACACTTAGCCCTTTGATACAACCCTTCCTTTTTTGATGAGAGTGGAACTTGCAGAAATACAAGAGAGTTATGAATGTCTGAACACATCCAAACCAGCTTCGAATAGGATTGAAGGGCTAGGTCTTGAGTGTGAAACTGATTTTTAAATGCTTAGGATGTTTTCTCTGGCAAAGAAAAGACCTTGATAACAAAAAGTAGTTTTAACGACCAGATTTACCCAGGCATGATGGCACATGCCTGTCAACCCAGCGCTGAGGAGACAAATGCAAAAAGATTGGTGTGAAGTCAAGTCCAGCCTGTCTAAATCCATCAGTCCATACCAGTTCTAACCGTGTGACTAGTTACATAAATTAAT